TATATGATAATGTATGAATCAATAAACTTTTTAATTCAGTCACTGATTTTAGAGGAAGGTGATGTAGTAGATTGAAACCACAGAGTCGTCTTAATTATTTGTAAATATATTATTAAGTATAACATCTATAATATAATAATAATAATATAATAATGAAAAACCATTTACATTAATAGTTATCATTTACATTAATAGGTAATATTGTAATCCAATAGTAAAACACTCAGTTATGTATAGATTCTCGATAGCCTTCAAGCATGATGAACTTTAGAGTAGTAGTACCATCAGATCGCGCGTGTTACAGTGCAGAACATTTTCCGTCCAACTGTCCGTAATTTTTTTTCTCCTATCAATAATACATACAATAGTTTTGTCGCCGTCTCCCCTATTTTCTTATTTGATAATTCGCGCCGCGCGCCCACACGCACATACGTACATACGGGATAAAGCCGGTATTCCTCAGAGAAAATGTGCCAGGCATCAGGGGCTTTACACCGTGCGATTATTCCTAATCTATCCTCTCGTTATTATACATCGGGATGCCTCAAATCGTGCGGTAGCGTTGCCTCCGAATTGAAACTCGAACGATAATTAACCGTCGAGGCCGTGTGCCTCGACAGAATTTCAAGCAAAACACAAGTCATCATGTTACATTAAAATGATTCCAAAATGATTACTAAAGTTACTTTTTAATCAGTAACGATTCACTTTAATGTTATTTTCACATTATCGTGACTTGTTGTTCTGCTTGGGGATCACATGTCGCAAATCCTACAACGGAAAGAGGAAGCCTCGACACATCCGGATTCATTCGTATTAAACAAAAGCCCCCTCCCGCACGAAATTGGCCGAACTCCTCCGGACAAATATACCTGAGTGCTTCGGCCCGAGAACGAAACGCCGATAGAAGAAATTCATCTTTAATTCGCAGATAAATTTGACGCGTGCTCATAAATTGGTAGTGCTCTATCGGCCCTCGCCCCGTCATTTACGAAAAATCGATTAAAATTACCAAGTAACTCGCTAAGAATTAGAGACGGTAATAGTCGTTGTGTCGTGCCCTACAGGTAGTGACGTGTGCGCGTGTTCGATTACACCGTATAAGGAGAGCAGGAAGAAGCTCTCCCGCGTTACGTTATAAACATCTGGATTATTTAACCGCTTAGAGTATCCGCCACTTAGTTCGCCCTCGTGGATGATATCGAGACATCCTTCTCAAATATATTGTACATTCTGCGTGTCGTCGTTTTGCGAAAATCTCTCCCTTGAATCTCTTCGCCACTTGTAAATATATAAACAAAAGAGAAAATTAAAAGAACAAAACAGGAAAGGTTGGTAATAGCAACACGTCTCACGCTTATTTGATTTGGAAGCTTAAAAACAAGCTACTTCGATGCAAACTCGAATATTATTGCGCGATGACAAGAGGCAACTTAATAGCGATTGCGAGTGCAACTACATGGATTACGTTAGTTACAAGAACAGAGCTTAATCTCGTCAATGCGACTGACGTCGGCCGCACAGATTAACTTCACAACAATAAAAACATAGTATATATATTTTTTCCTCACAATATAATTTATCTTTAAATATTTCTGTATATTTGTATAACTATGTAACCTTCGATATAAATACCCTGAAATCTACACTCTCGCGATCACTATCATAAAATTGAATTCACCTCCAGCTCGCTTTTTTCCTCCTCTTTAATTTTCTTCTTTTTACAATGAATATCGACGTACACGACGCGAGATTACACTCGATCGTGACTGTCACTATATATATGTATATTCGAACCCTTTAGAATCTACTATGTACAAATAATCTCCCGCAGCTTTTTCGATTCTGGGCTGCAACTTAAATGATGGCTTACTGATACCAGCGAAGCTGGTAGTTTGTAGAACGGAATGGTACAAGTTTGTTATATTACAGGATACTAATTGATAGAGTACAGAACATAAATGTATTGGGAATCACAGTTGCAAAGAAAAATAACAGCTGCATTTTATGGTAGTTAGAGCAGAGCTAACTCTGAAGTTTTGGATTTTTCTTATGAAATTTCGCATACGGTATACAACTACGCATACAAATAAAGAAATCGGAGTAATTACAATTTTTGTCATATTAAGAACATAATTGCAAAGGACTATAGTGAATAAAGAATTAAGAAAAGTAATCTTTTGCATACCGCGCAGATGAAAGATCAAGTACGAAAGAATTCCAAAAAGGAATCGAATGCTGATCGAGTCCTTTCGATCGTCGACTATATCCTTATCAATTCGTTCGTATATTTCATTCGATTTATATTTATCGAATAGTGTACAATTTATAGCCAACATCGAATTGTCGCGTAATATATTTATATATTTATATATTTGTTTGTATATCTAACTGCCCAAGTAATATATATATATATAATCGATTAATACGCAGTCGAATACCGTTCTCGCTCTCCGTCCTCTGCGAGCGAGAGTCCTTAAGTAAAATATTTCGGATAAAAAATATGTATATTTTGTCGACATGGTGGTTTCTGTTAGAGGATCGTATCAAACGATCACACTGTCGTCATTTCGTAACTCTTTCTTCTTTTTATACTTTAATAACTCTCAACGTTTTAAAATGTATTTAACAGAATCCGATACACGGTCGGCTTAAAATTAAACAATTTGTTAGTTTCTCAAAATTCATTATACAAACGCTAGATTTTTGTTTGTTCATTGCTAGATATATCTTTATTGAATCATTTCTAAAAAAATCACATAAAAATGCAATATCTATTTTACTATTTCCGACTCTTTCCCAGAATATATCAAATTATCCGTAAAAATTATGGCTAAATTTTACGGAAGAAACCTGAAAGTTATTTATTATTATAATCCATGCAGTCTAATCTACTGCCTATTTTCTCTCTTGATATCGATATGTTGTATTGCAATGATCTTCCGTCGCATGATCATTTGATAATTGAATCGAATTTAAATTGCACTTCTTTCTTTATCTTATGTTTTCAACATCTCGATTAATATCATGAAGAATCATATTGGAGTGGATAAAAGAGATTATATTAAATTAATCAACCGAACATTTTTGTTCGATATTTTTTATAATCCAGAATTGATTATCTTTAACTATTAGCGTAATTATTTCTATTTCATCTCAATCACTAAAACAATTGTTTATTCAGTTATTTCATTATTCAGTTAATTTCATAAAAGAAAATGGTTGATGGCAGTGATATTTCATGTTTATCTCAGATCGTTATCATTTCAAGTCCTTGCGCTGCAAGTACATTTTCGTTACGACTATGACACTCGGTAGGATCGCGCGACCGAGATTTCCCAATCACTTCACAGAAACTCTCGATAGCGTATAGTAAGTATCGACCTCACATTCATCGCACGAGGATTATAGTTCAAATGGCGGATCAGTGTAGTTTTTACAGAGTGCTTACAGGCTAAACGCTCCCTCTCGATAAATATCTCTCCCGCGCGAGGTGTACAAAAGAAAGCGAGGAATCCTTTAGGAGCAAGAATCCACTTTTCTGCCCTTATACTAACAGCGATAATAGTAATAATTACAGTAATAATCGTTCGTACGGTTTCTCTCTTTTTACAGCGGCTCCTCCACGGCAAAGAGTAATTCATGCCACGAAGCTTTTAACGGAAATGCGTATAATTACAGGTTGGACGTGGCACACACACACAGTTCTCTTATTCTTCCCTAAATAAGTACATGTATCGCCTGTCGCACTTAGAAGCGTCGAACGCGTCCGGCGAATGTGGCAGTGGCTGCGGAACTACTTCTAAGTAGTTATAGATCTATCACTTCTTCTTTCTTTCTCTCCAATTCTCTCTTTCTCTCTCTCTCGTTCTCTCATTCATTCTTTCTTTCTCTCTCTTTCTCTCGCTTTTACTCCCTTTCGATCTATGAGCAACACTCATTTCATATAATATTGGCCCCAGCACCCTTATTATTTTCTTTTATTATTACATCATCTCACGCGACGACTAGTACAAACGTTTGGAATTTACATAGCATGAAATTAGTTATTATTAGACAGTTTATAGAAAATATGCTTTCAACAAAAGTATATATGTATATGTATATACTCAAAGAATTTATCAATATTTAGCTGTTATAAAACAAAATTAAAGAATGAAATAATCAGAGTTAAATTAAGTAAATGTTAGAAAATTATGATTATTTACTTTTATATATAAAGTTAACATAATAAATAAGTACATCTTTCATAACGAAACACCATAAAAGATAAAAGCACATAGAGCCCGAATGTGTCGTCCTTTATTTCCGGTTACGACGTCGCGGAACTAGCGGCTCTTTTCACAAAACTCAATAAGTCGTCGTTGGGTTTTCCTCACATCTTCAAAGGCAAACGTACACCGTTATACAATAACACAAATCCACGCCGATTCTACATCCGCCACGCAACACGTTCTCGCTTCGCCTTTCTCATAGAAAAACGTAATAAATCCTCCGATATATTTGAAGAGGCAACACAAACGAAATATTCATTCGAGAGCAATAAATATGGCATATTTTCACACCGCGAGTTAGGCGTGGTAATTAGAGGGCAATTTTTGCAACTGTGGTTGTATCGATAGAATTTGAATGAGAGAGGGAGAAATATTTTGCAGCTACTGCGTATAAAATCACATGCAACAAATAATGTTTTTCCTTTAATTACAATTTACGAAAAGATACCGTTATGTGTATAATAACGATGTACAATAATAAAATGTTCTTTAATTAATTATAAATATATATATATATATATATATA